ATCTGAGGACAAGCCGAGCCTCCTCCTGGCACAGAAGGATAACATCCCACATGAGGGTGTTTGCTCCGCCGGATCTTTGACTCTGGTGCTTCATACTCCAGAGGGGAGGTGGTGTGGAAACTGCTGTCTTCAGGTGTTGATCCTTGCTTGCTGTAACCCACGAGCCAGGCCTGGAAAGCGGAGAAGAGCACTGCGTATCCCACGGGCTGCCAAAAACACGAGCACAGACGTCGTGGCCAAGGTGCAGTCAGAGCCCCTTGGAGGCAAAGATGACCAAGCTTCGCCTCACATACTGCAGGCGCGTTGCTAGGATAGGCTGTTTCCTGGAGAGAGACATCAAGAGAGGCAGAGAAAGACAGAAAGACCCTCAGTGACATAGTGACTGTTGGCAATGGGCTCAAGTGTATCAGGGATGGTCAGGATTGGACAAGGCAGGACAGGGTGCAGGCTCGCTGTTCACAGGGTCTCTATGAAGTCCAACTCAACAGCACCTCACAACAACAATTCATGCCACAATTCTTTTAAAAAGAAACGCAGTGAAGAGGTCTACACAAGGAGTCTGGAGGTCCGTTTGAAGACAAGGGCACGCTGGCTCTGTCTGTCCTTCCTGGGGACAGACATGCAGAAGCCTCTTCGCTGAGCCCGTCTCCCTCCATGCTTCAGGGGAGGATTTGCTGTCCAGCTCCGGAGTCACGCCCTCTGCTCACAGCAGCTGCTGACTTTCCCTGATCTTATCCTTGCTGCCAGACACTGTGGGCCAGACACCCAGCACAGAGAGTCAGAGCAAGCTCTTATCAGATGCTGACATCGGGAATGACAGGAATCTCTGAGCTGGCACAGGGGCCGACAGTGGGGCGTATTGTTCTTTCTGAATGACACATCAGTGGTCTCTCTGGAACCCTTATCTTCTGGACCCCTGTGTGCCAAGTTGGACTTGTTACATGGGATGCTATTTTTTGTGCTTTTATCTCTGCTCTGTAGCAGAGGAATGAACACAATGTGCTAACAAGGCTCTGCACTGCTGTCTGGCCCTTCCCCCTCACCAAGACCTGCTGTGCGTTTATGGGGCTGTAAATCTTCCTGGGAACCAACTGCATTTATTTCTCCCACGGAGTGCCTGGTGGATTTGAACAGCCAAACTTTTCGTTGTTGTTGTTGTTAGATGCTGTCAAGTATAACTCATAGCGACCCTATGAACAAAAGATCTGAACCCTGTTCTATCCTATGCCATCCACACACTTCCTGACACAAAAGCCCATTGCAGCAGTCACTGTGTCAGTCTGCCTGGTCCAGGGTCTTCTGCTCCTTTGTCGACCCTCTACCCTTCCAAGCATCGTGTCCCTCTCCAAGCCCCTCCTAGCAACATGCCCGAAGATGTGATGCAAAACCTCATCATCTTTGCCTCCAAAGAGCATTCCGGCTGTCCTTTCTCTAAGACAGATTTGTTTGCTGTTTTGGCAACCCATAGGATGTTCACTGCTCTTCTCCAACACCATAACTCACGTGCATCAATTCTTCTGTCATCCGTATTCATTGTCCAGCCCTCAGATGCATAGCAAGTGATCAGAAAGCCCATGGCCTGCATCAGGTGCACCTTATTCCTCACACTGACATAATCACTCCTCAGTTATTTGGAGAGGTCTCTAACTGCAGCCTTTTCCAAGTCCAGTGCGTCTCCTGATACCCTGACTGCTGGTACAAAGGACATTGGTTATGGATCCAAGATGAAGTTGTTGACATTTTCAGTCTTTTTTCCAATTCATCATGATGTTGCCTATCGATCCAGTGGTGAGCAGCTTTGTTTTCTTGACCTTGAGATGCAATCTATATTGAAGGCTGCAGTCCTTGATCTTCTGCAGCAAGTGCTTCAAGTCTTCTTCACTTTCAGCTGGTGAGGTTGTGTCATCTGCATAACACAGGTTATGGAGGAGTCCCCCTCTGGTCTCGATGCCACACTTAGTTTATCGAGTCCAGCCTGTTGAGTGATTTGTTTGACATACAGACTGGGTAATTATGGAGAAAGAATACCGCCCTGACACACCCCCTTCTTTTTAAACCATGTACCAGGACCCACGCAGGGCCTTGAACAACAGCTCTGAGCCTGGTCCTGTCCTGTGCCGTCCCCACACTTCCTGACACGTTTGAGCCCATTGCAGCTGTCACTGTGTCCGTCCACAGCGTTGGAGTCTTCCTCTCTTGAGCGGACCCTCCGCTTTTTGGCTGGCAGCCTGATGCTTCACACACAGAGCTACCAAGGCTCCTTGGATTTTGTTGTTGTGTGTCATCGAGTTGCTGACCCCCGTGGGTTTTCATAGGCAGTGAGCAGTGCAGGAGGAGCTGGCCCTTACCGGAGTGGAACACTGTAGATTATTGTAAACAAACCAGTAACACATTTAAAAAGGAGGAGGTGGCCCGTCCTGCAGAGCAGCTGGTAAACCCCAGCCACCTGATTTTGGCTGGCTCCTACACGTCAGAGGATGAAAAGCAAAACCTCTTTTACTATGAGAATAAAACCATTCCTCCTCTTTCTACCGTAAGGCATTGCTTTCCTGATTGTTTCAGTTCATTTATTATTCAGTCTGGTCCCAAATTAACATTAGCCCTTCCCTCACTTAATTGGTTTAGGATGACTTAAGCAGTAAGGGGCTTACTCCTCACACATCTGGCTGGGTGGTCATTCAGGAGAGAAGGTGCCCACAGCCCCAGGAGGTGGAGAAATGCATGTACCTTCCACACCCCGACACGGCCCGTGTAGACAGTTACTGTCCTAGGCACAGTTACCATTCACAGGGGTCCTGCCTTGGACACCTTTGGGTGCTTCGTCCTTGGACGCTGGATCTGTGTGTCACCCTGACTGATCACACGTTGTCCCCGTGATTCTGATTGTGAACGTAACCTGTGTGTCACCCTGACTGATCACACATTGTCCCCGTGATTCCAATTATGAATGGAACCTGTGTGTCACCCTGACTGATCACTCGTTGTCCCCGTGATTCCGATTATGAATGGAACCTGGCCGTGCGACAGGGCGTGTCTACCTGGTCGACGTAAGCTGAGATAGCCTTGGCAAGTTAAGCAGAAATCAGAGCTGTGACTACCCAGCCAGGCCTCACGGAGCACTGGGCACTTGGCTGTGGTCTGAGTGGTTGCGTGTTCAGTCCCACATGGGATCTTCCATTAACACTGCGGCCTATAGAGCCCGAATGGGGCAGTTGTCACTGGTATGCTCTGTCACCTGTGGGCTCTGTTTCCCCTGTCCATGCTTTGTCACCTGTGAGCACTCTGTCACCTGGGGGCATGCTGCCACCTGTGAACACTTTGTCACCTGAAGGCACTCTATCAGTTGGACACAATCTGTCACCTGTAGGTGCTCTGTCACCTGTGTGCACTCTGCTACCTGTGGATGCCCTGTCACTTGTGGGCACCCTGTCACCTGTGTGTGCTTTGTCACCTGTGGGCACCCTGTCAGCTGTGGACTCTAAGTGTCACAGTCAAGTCGACGGCTGAAACAACAGACATGGCTATGCGGAACCCTGGCGTTGCTCCCGGGGCGGGCACAGGTGTGCTGCTCGCCTGAGCGTGTTCTTGGCCGGCTGCTCGCCGTGGATGTGTCTCCCGGGAGGAGGTAGCCACAGTCATGCTTCATTACGTGCGGCTGTGCGTAACCTGCAGGGACATCGGGGCACGGACGAGCCTGTGGCTACTTCTCCGTGGGCTCCCCTGTGTGTCCTCTGAGCCCCGTGGTCAGTACCTGTCCTCGCTGTCACCGGTGGTCACTAACACGCACAGCTCTTTAACAGGAACCCGCACTGGTTGTCAGGGCTCAGCACGGGCTCAGTGATAGAATCCTCACCTTCCATGCAGGAGACCCTGGTTCAGTTCCTGGTCAGTGAATCCCAGGTGCAGTTGCCCCTCTGTCAGGGAGCTCTGGTGTCCAGCTTTGAACAGGGTTCAGTGGGGATTTGCAGAGCTAGGAAGAAAGGCCTTGTGGGAGCCCCGAAGGGTGCTCTGGGAGCCCCAGGGGCCGTGGTGGGAGCCCCATGGGCTGTGCTGGGAGCTTGGGGGTGTGCTGGAAGCTCCAGGGGTCATGATGGGAGCCCCAGGGGTCATGATGAGAGCCCCAGGGGCCGTGGTGGGTGCCCCGGGGGCCGTGGTGATCCTGTGTATAACTGGTGATGGGTGGCCCAGGACAGGCAGCACTGTCGTGAGGGAGTCACTATGGGTCAGGGTGATGCTTCACCAGCTAACAGGAAGAGGGTAAATATGTTGTTGTTGTTGTTAAGTGCCATCAAGCCAGTGACTCAGCGGACATATGTACAGCAGACGTGGACTCTGTCCTGCCGGACACCAACCTCAGCGTGCCCACCACGCTCCTGTCCATTGTTAACTGTGTCTTCATCTCACTGAGGGTCTTCCTCTCTTTGACTGACCCTCTGCTTTTGCGAGCATCATGCCTTTTTCCAAGGACCGACCCCTCGTGGGCCATGCCTACAGTGTGCTTATAACAGCTAGACCACGTGTGTGTCACAGTTAACGTGAATTAGTGGCCGGGGGAGAGGGACCTGTGTGTCAGCAAATGAATGAGGCCGCCCTGCCTGTGAATTTCCACTACAATCACAATAAACGAATAAAAACAATTATCTGGTGAAAGAGAACATTGGAACGCCTGCACGTAGATCCGAATGTAAGCCTGCCTGCTTGAGTGAGCGGTCGGAGCTCTGGTGGCTGCTGACAGAGAGGTCCGTGGTTCGAATCCTCACACCGCTCTGCTGGAAGCAGACATCAGGCTCCGCTGTGAAGGTGAACATTAGCCTTGGAGCCGACGCAGGCCACGGCGAGGCAGGCTCCCTGGGAGGTGAGGGGGGCATCCAGGGACAGGTGCAGACTTGTCACACTGCGGACATTCTGGTGGGCCACCTGGCAGGTCTGTGCCCGGGCACCTTCTGACCTCCCCTCCATCCCTCCGAGGACCTGACGGTGGTGTTTGCTGTCTCCAACAGGCTGTGGAGTGGGGCTGTGACGAGAACACCAAGAAGGCGTGTTACAGCAAGGGCAAGTCCAAGGTAAGGGCGGCCATGTGTCACTTGGTGGGGCAGACAGGCCATGGAGGAGGTGGCCAGGCCATGGAGGACGGCCATGCAGCCAACCACGGCGCCTAGGGCACAGCAGCCAGGCCACGGCGCCCAGGCCACGGCAGCCAGGTCACAGAGGGAGGCCAAGACGGCCATCCACGGTGCCCAGGCCATAGTGGCCAGTCCATGGAGGCAGGTCATGATGGCCAGCAGTGGCCAGCCACGGTGCTCAGGCCACGGCAGCCAGCCCACAGTAGCTAGCCACAGGACTCACCAAGCTGATCCGTGGTCACATCCCACACTGTCAGTGTGGAGCCTGAAGGTGAGGCCCTGGCTCTGGACACTGCTGTCCACAGGGCTGGCACCGGAGACTGGCAGGCTGTGACCTGTCATGTATAAGAGGCGGGCTCTGGACCCCATCCATCCTGTCCTCCCCGTTCCTCTCACCGGCCACGTGCTGCGTCTTTGCAGCCAATCGAATCAGAGCTGGGCACGGTCCAGGGGGGCCCCTTTCCTCCAACAGTTGATCTGAGAGTCTCTTTTCTGGTAAGTTCTGTCTGTCCCTCCAGGCAAGACTTCACGTGTCTCAGTCCCCACACTGAGTCCCAGTGGTCTAGTGGTGAGAAGTTGCTCTGTCATCCCAAAGGCACCTGGTTCGACTCCACCAGATGCCCTGAAGGAGAAGGATGGGCAGTCTCCTCCCATGTGATTTACTGCCTCGGAAAACCCACTGAAGGGTCAGTCATGAATTGGTACAGGCTTAACAGCCATAACAAGCACAGCAGTCCTTAAAAGGGCCTCTGGTGGTGCGGTGTGTTGTTAATAGAAAGGCCAGTGGTTCAAGTCCACCAGCTGAAAGATGGACGCTTCTGTCTCCAAGACGTGCAGCCTGAGACCCGGTGCGCGGTTGCTGTGGTCAAAAACGCCTCGTCAGGCAGCGCATGGGAGTAGGTCCCCAGGGAAGTGTGGGGACGTGTGTCTCAACCTCCCTTTCTTGCAGGTCTTTGAAGGTGTCCAGTTGGGTCAGCAGCGTGGTTCTCTGTCGGAGAATGTGGCACAAATGCTGGGTCACACATAGGGTGGTTGACACGACTCAAACATGGCTTCGACAGTGCCCCCTCAGTCCATGGTCCTCCCCCCTTCACCGCATAGAGGCAGAAGTACACAGGACACAAGGCAGTGCCCCCTCTGTCCACAGCCCCCTCCCTTCACTGTGCAGGCTCTGCCCAGTGGTCGGCCACCCTTCTCAGTGCAGAAGCACACAGGACACAAAGGGAAGCAGAATCTCTACATCCAGCCGGAGTGCAGCCTCGGCTGACCCCAGATCCAGAGTCCAGGTTCCCAGGGCACACACGCCCACTGTCTGAACAGTCTGTCCAGTGGTCAGTCTCCCCTTCCCCCCATGATATAGAACTTCACAGGACACTGCCTCTCCATCGAGCCCGAGCACAGCCCCAGATGCCCTCAGGCCCCAGCTCCCCAGGCCCCCAGGTCCCCTCAGCTCAGAGGGTAGCGGGGTGAGAATCTCTGAATGCCCCTGGGTGAACCTCGTCCTGGAGCACAGGTGGGGCATCTCAGGGTGAGCACAGCCCAGTGGAGGCCCCTGCAGCGAAGGATCATGACACAGTAGGGCTGGCAGAGGTGGCCCCTGACATCACTCGGGTGTCATCTTCCCTGTGGGGATGGATTCTGGGCTCAGGGACTGTATGGAGTACAGCAGCCACACCAGTGTCCAGCTGATCGCAAGGTCAGTGGTTCTAACCCACCGACTGCTCCATGATGGAAAGCTAGGCAGTGGGCCCTTGGATCTGAGACTGACAGAAGCAAGCACGGGCACCCTCAGTTCTGTGCAAAACTGAGGGTCAGCGGAGAAAAGCGCGGGTCAGTGAGGGGAGGAAGACCCACAGCGAGGTGGAGGGACGCCGTCGCTGCAGCAGTGCACCTGTGTGAGCGGAGAAGGTGCTGAGGGCGTGGGACATGGCGGGTTCCCCACCTGTCGTCCCCAGGCTCCCAGGACCCAGAGATGACCCCGTGACTCTCACAACGCTGGTTTCCTCACAGAAAGTGTCGTTGGCGTGCTGTTTGAAATGCAGAGAAGGGCCAGATTCTAGCAGACGGGATCGCATGTCCTCACGCACAGGAAAACTGACAGGTGTTGTCAGGAAAAGACCATGCCCCCAAGTCCTGGCCCGTTTGCTCGTTCATGCAGTCAGGATGGTGGAACGTTCTAGTAATTCCAAGTGGGTGTTCCAGGGACTTCGAGGAGAACGACCTTGGAAGAACAATGAGATCCGGGCTCCTGGGAAGTGAGGATCAGGACTTTGTCCCGCGGGCGTTGAGCATGCCGTCGGGAGGGATCAGTCTTCTGTCGGCAGGCGGCCCCCCCAGGGGCTGGACTAACCCCGGGCTGCCCCACCGGACGCACAGCGGGCTTTGTTCTGTTGTTCACCACAACCGTGAGCTGTGTCAGCGGCCCCGGCAGCCCCATCTGTGTGGGGAGGTGGTTCAGACGACGTGGTGAAGTCCTTGTGTTAAGTGTGTAGATGGATCCCCTGTGACGCTTACCACCGTGGTTAACACTGTGCTTCCAAAACTCGGCCGTCGGGCTCAGGGTCACGGTGTCGGATGTGTCCCTGCCTGAGTGATGGCGGTGGACCGGGTAGTGGGGTGTGTGTGTGTGTGTGTGTGATGATGATGATTGATGGGGGGGGTGTGTGTGGACAGTGCCTGGACAGTGCTCTCTGTGTGTGTGGACAGTGCCTGGGCAGTGGTTGTGTGTGTGTGTGTGTGTGTACACATGTGGACAGTGCCTGGGCAGTGCCGTGTGTGTGTGTGTGTGTGTGTGTGTGTGTGTGTGTGTGTGTGTGTGTGTGTGTGTACACGTGTGGACAGTGCCCAGGCAGTGCTGTGTGTGTGTGTGT